AATTCTGGCTTAAGTAAATTTTTTTATCTCAGTTTTTATTATTCATTTAAAATGAGACAAATCTGCTATTATTTTAATCTCCAATCTGTTATTTATTAGTTTAGATCGTGTTTTAATGCTTTGCTAGCTACCTAGCTAACTAGCAGAAGACACTAACCAGTTTTAAATTCCAGTTGCACAGATGGGGTATGTTGTAACACTGCGTTACAATGTGCTATTCTATGACATTAGCGATGTAATGTACACTATTTACTTTAATGGATTTTAATGAGAAACTAGGAGGAACAGTTGAATAAAGACTGACGGTCAATGTTTAATGTTTAGAAATTATTATTTCAAGATATGTAAAGCATTTTTGCTCGTTTATGTGGGCCGTCCCAAGCATGGTTGCAATGTGTTCATTGTCAAACTCCAAAATCAGATTATTTTTAATTCTTAAAAAAAGCCATTATTTTATTTGAAAAAAATAATTTTCTTTTATTAACAAAATATTTTAGTTTGTTTTGTATAATTTTTTTAAATTCGATCAGATAACATTTTAAGCTGTCATATGGTCAAGTTACAACGTGCCCCTCAGATGTTACAATGTGTGCACCTACGGGGCATGTTGTATTCTCTTAGCTTCGTAAAATTACGGTTGAACCCCTGATGTCACATATTTTACTGATGTCCTTGCTACATTTCTGTGCGTTGATCGTGATTCGTGGTAATATCCTTGCTGTCGGTCAGAGAGCTCTCAGATTCCATCAAAAATATCTTAATTTGTGTTCCGAACATGAACGAAAGTCTTACGGTTTTGGAAGGACATGAGGGCGAGTAATTAATGACAGAATTTTCATGTTTGGGTGAACTAACCCTTTAAATATCACTAAGCAAATCATTGGTCTAGCATCAACACTGCAACAATACCTATTACATTGTTAATATAATTTAATTTAGCATTTATTCTTTTTATCTCAAATTCAACAAGTCTTCTTTTATTCATGCCTTATGCTCAATAGAAAATGAAAAGTCAATCCTTTGAAGCCATTTTAGCAAGTCATTAACTATTATTGGGGATTAACTATTAATATTAATAGTTAAAAAAGTCGTGGCCTAATGGTTAGAGAGTCGGACTCATAACCCAAAGGTTGTGGGTTCGAGTCTCGTACCGGCAGGGATTGTAGGTGGGGGGAGTGAATGTACAGCGCTCTCTCCCACCTTCAATACCACCCTTGAGCAAGGCACCGAACCCCCAACTGCTCCCCGGGCGCCGCAGCATAAATGGCTGCCCACTGCTCCGGGTGTGTGTTCACGGTGTGTGTGTGTTCACTGCTGTGTGTGTGCACTTTGGATGGGTAAATGCAGAGCACTAATTCCGAGTATGGGTCACCATACTTGGCCACATGTCACTTCACTCACTGATTATGGATGGCGCCAATTTGCTAGTTTAAATTCATAAAAAGCACACATGGTAAAGTCGCGCAGGATGCTGTCAACAGTGAATATTTGACCGCTTAGTGTTGCGTTTGATCATTCAGAATTATAGTGTACACTACACATGTTTCAGATATAGTATTTTCTTATTTTGAATCATCTTATTTTTAGGGAGTTACCCTCTCAGAGTTGTTGGAGGCAAAGAGAAACTTCAGCCCGTCAAAGCTGGAGATGCACGCAGGCGAGGCGTGTAGATCTGCAGAGGGACTGTGTCTCCAGAGAAGAGTCCCCGAGGACACGACAGAAACCGGCCCGTGTCTGAGGGTGGAACAGCTGTCTGACAAACACCAATGTGAACACCTGGATGAGGTGACAGCACAAACATATGCAATTTACTCGTGTAAAACAGTGACAGGTGTAAATAATCAGCTCTATTAAATCTATTCAAAAGACTAAAATCATATGTAGTGACCCCAAAAGTATTGGACACATAAATCACACTTTAAAATGTATGAACGTTATTGCATTTGAATCAAAATACGTTTTACTGTAGAACTTTTAGATTAGACCTTTTGAAAAAGAAGTGTGCTAAATTGTATAGAATGTGCACTTGTCACTTGTAGTGTACTTCAAACCTATATTTGCATATGTAATATTACTGAAATAAAAGGCCACTTTTATTTCTGTACTTAAAAAGTTCACTTTCATGACTGTTGCTTACACTTAAATGCACTTATAAACATTGTTTACGTTTTTTAAATTAAAATGGTTTAATAATATTTTGTCATTTGTAGTACACTTATTTTGATGTATTGACTAACATACTAAAGTACATGCCATGTAAAGTACTTGATTATAATTTTAACGGTACAGTAGTGTTTATTTATATTACATTTAAGTTAATATATTTTCAATGTACTAACCTGCAGCTTCAGTACAAATGCACAATTACTGATATATTTAAATACATGGCATACAAATTAAAGTGTAAATAATATAAAAAATATATTTTAATTAATCATAAATATTATATATTCCAAAAGACAATTTAAGAAATTATGAAAGTACATGTAAAGATGTCATTTACATTTAATTAAATGTAAACTAAAGTATATTTTAATTTAATTACAGTATAAATAACATTCAACTGAAATTCATCTGAAAAACATTACATTAAATTCACACTTAACTGTATTTACATTGTTATTTCCCTAATAATTACTCTTTATAAGTATGCTTATAAAAGTATGCTTTTTCTCGTGTTACTTGGAGATTTTCATTGGCAGAATAACAATGGAAGTTACTGGCAATATTACAGTATGTTCAGTGCAAGTTATTCACTATTAACTTCTGCTTGTATAAAAGTATAAAAGCAGTATCACACCTGTAATCTGCCGTTGACTGAAAGCTGTGACACTAAAGTGTGACTTATAGATTGTTTTATTATTTTTTTATACATTTTTTATCATGAATTCTCCAAGCAAGGAAACTGGAAAAGAAGACCAAGAAGAAAACCTGAAAGGTCATCTTTTTGCCTCTCGTCATCAGTTAAAGGAGCGTGTGGTTTCACCCCCAGTCTGAAGAGTCACAGCACCTCCATTGGTACTACCGCACCTTAAGATCTGACAACGTGTGCAATGATTTATAAAAGCATCATCATCATACTGATGTATGCCCGCTGCTGTCTTGTCTATTGATTACAGAGTCTGAGTGGAAAGATGAAAATGACAACATCCTTTACGGTACCTCGGAAGCGTCTCTGACACAGCAGCTGACAGAAGACCGTGATCTCAGCGCTGAGCTGACCGGCCCGCTCACTGAGGTACCACTAGTGTGTTTATTCATTGCTGTTTCAAATGTATATTTTTATATTTTATACATTGCTCATGTGAGAAGCACAAGAATAGCAATGGCAATAACTCGATAACTAACTTATCATTTACTGGGGCGAATTTGAAGGTAAAAATTCTACATTTTACTCTTTTCATTTAAAGCACTTGTTTTGTAGGTCTTTACGAATCTTTCTTATTTTTACCCATTTTACTGTATGTGTGAATTGCAGGCTGAATTTTTACAGCCACTTGTAATTTTAAAGGGATAGTTCACCCAAAAATGAAAATTCTGTCATTAATTACTCACCCTCATGTCGTTCCAAACCCGTAAGACCTTCGTTCATCTTCGGAGCACAAATCAAGATATTTTTGATGAATTCCAAGAGATCTCTGACCCTCCATAGATAGCAAGGGAACTACCACGATCAAGGTCCAGAAGCGTAGCAAGCAAAATAATCCATGTGACATCAGGGGTTCAACCGTAATTTTACGAAGTGTGGCGCAGCTGACACAGAACATCATATGTTGTTTACGTATGTGATACTCTCCAAAATGGCGCTAGGGTGATGCGGAGGAGACGAATTGTTGAATAAATTCGTTATTTTTTTTTCTTTGCGCACAAAAAGTATTCTCGTAGCTTCATAAAATTACAGTTGAACCCCTGAAGTCACATGGATTATTTTATCAATGTCCTTACTACCTTTCTGGACCTTGATTGTGGTAGTTCCCTTGCTGTCTATGGAGAGTCAGAGAGCTCAGAATTCATCAAAAATATCTTAATTTGTGTTCCGAAGATGAACGAAAGTCTTACGGGTTTGGAACGACATGAGGATGAGTAATTAATGACAGAATTTTCATTCTTGGGAACTATCCCTTTAATTTTCCTGTTATGTAAACTGTATTTGGAATTTATCACTACAACACAGTCTGTGACCTAAAGTGACAAGTTTTAGTTTATATATATATATATATATATATAATTTTTTTTGTTAAAGTGTAACACTCTCACGTTTTGGATCAGTATATTGGTTTCAATTTTAAACCAGGTGTATCAGGTGTGTCCTATAGAGACAACATTAATAACATACACTACACTACACTACACTACAGTTTGGGGTTAGTAAGATATTTTATTGCTTTTGAAAGAAGTGTCTTAATAGAAAGTTCAAAAGAACAGCATATATTTGAAATAGATTATCTAAAATATCTTTTGTAATATTATAAATGTCTTCACTTTCACTTTTGATCAATTTATTACATTCTTGCTGAATAAAAGTATTAATTTCTTTTAAAAATCTTACTGATCGCAGACTTTTAAAAGGTAACATATTCTCCTTCTAATAGTCTAACATAAGACTATTTTTGCTACTTTTAAAAACTTTTGACATGTACCTTTCACTCACTTAGGTAAAACTAAACGTGGATACTTTTGTACTTTTCATTCAAGTATATTTTTTAAGCATAAATTAATCATGACTCATTGTGAATAGAGAACGTCTCGGTTACGTATGTAACCCTCGTTCCCTGAGGGAGGGGACGGAGACGGC